GCTGGCGCCCTCCCCCCCGGGGAGCCGGCGGCGGGGCGGGGGGCGCGATGCGGGGGCCGCCGCGCCCCGGCGTCCGTCGAGCGGCGGGGCGCGTCCTCCTGCCTCGCTGGGGGGCGGGGGCGGGGGCGGCGGGGCTCTCGGGGCGCAAACCTTCGGCGCGGCCGCGGCCACTGCTCAGGAGTAGATGGTGATGACCTCCCGGCCGCCGCCGCGCACCAGCAGCACCCGGTCCAGGTGCTCCGTCAGCACCTCCAGGAACTCCATGTCTGCGGCGCGAGTCAAGGGCTGGCTGACGGGCGCCTCCGACCCAGCCCGCCCCGCTCGCCCGGGAAGCCCCCCCCCCCCCGAGCCCGAGCCCGAGCCCGAGCCGCTTCCCGGCCGCGCGCCCCTCGCCCCCGCATCGGCCGGGGCGCGCACGGGTTCGGGGCCCGCGGGCGCCCGCCGCGCCCGAGCCGAGCCGCGCAAGGATACAGTTCTCGTCGCCCTTGCGGTTCCGCGGAGGGCCCGGCATGTTGAGCAGCACCAGCTTGGCCTCCTGCGACTTCTTCACGATCGCCTCGTTGAGCCGGATGGCCGTGTGCATCCTCCGCACGTTGGACTGGTTCCTGCCGAGCGAGCGAGCGAGCGAGCCCCGGCTGAGCGGCAGCGCCCGAGCCCCGCGCCCCAGCAGCCTCGCCCCGCCCCGCCCCGCCCCGCCCGCCCCGCCGGCCGCAGGACGCTCAGGGGCGGCGGGCACCCGTCACCCCGCCTCTCCCCGGCGCCAGGACTTACAGGGTCTCCCACTCCCTGGCAGCGGCAGCAGAGGAGGAAGAGAGCGGGTCACTCACGTGGGATGCGCGGCCCCTTCCCGGCTCCCGCACGGAAAGCCCAGGCCCCCCGGACACGCCTCCCTCCAGGCCCGGAGCGCCCCCCCCCCGCGCTCCAGCCTCCCCACACAGGCCGGTCCAGGGCCACACCGGGCACAGCGGTGGTGCTCGTGGCCCAGGCCGCCACGCCACGCCACGCCATGCCACGCCACGCAGCGCTCTCCCCGGGCGAGGCCGGACTCACGGCTTCATGCTGAAGAAGTCCTTGATGCTCTCGGGGCTGACGGGGCTCTTGGCCTTGTTCTTCTCGGCCACCTTCTCCTTGGTCCAGGTGAGGTGCACCTTCTCGGGGGCCGCCTCTGCCTCCGCCTCGTCCTCCCCCGGCGACTGCGAGCTGCTCGAGAAGGTGGTGGCGTTTTTGTCATGGATCAGCTGCACCTGCAACAGAGAGGAAGTTGTGGCTGGCCCACCGCACTGCCCCCCCCCGGCCCCTGCGGCCTCCCCCCGCATGGCAGCCCCAGCCCCTTCCGGCTCCCCACCGCCCCCGCCCCCGGGTCCGCCTCCTTCCCTTCTGCTGGGGCTCAGGGGTCGCTGGCGCAGCGCTGCCGCCTCATGCACCTGACCGACTGGGAGCCCCTCCTGGGCTGAAAGGGTGGCTGAATCCATCGATTTTAAAAGGGTGGTTTCGATGGAAGTGCTCATGGAAACTGCCTGATGGCACATGGGACTCCTCGGGAGGAGCGCTTGCTTTCCCTCATGCTTGCTTGCCTGCGTGTGCGCAAGCGCGCACGCTCTCTCACACACACACACAGCCCCCAGACAGGATGCCCGGCTGCGATGAGGCCGCCCTGCCCTGCGCTGCCCTCGAGCAGGAGACATGTGGGCCTGGCTCAGAGGGGCATCGCGGAGCTGCCAGGAGGGCCACAGCAGGCGAGACCATGCAGGAGGGGGAGGGGGAGAAGGAGGGGGAGGGGGAGGGGGAGCAGCAGCCCAGCGGCCTGCTCTCCCCAGACACGGCCCCTGCAGCTCCCTTCCTGCCACTCCCCCAGGCCACTCCTCGTGGCCCCAGCCACACAAGCTGCCACGGGCCTTGCCCAGGATTGTGAGCATTGGGAAGGGCAGTGTGGCAACCCCAGCGGAGCGGGTCCCTTGGCCTCGGGCAGTGCGGGCCGTGCGCTGAGCAAGCCCAGGCAGCCCACTCGAGCGGCAGCCCGGTCTGAAGTCACGGCAGAGAGGTGGGGCGCTGTGACACGGCCCCCCAGCCACCCCGCCAGGAGCAAGGCCATGGCTGGTTGCCCCACCCGTCCTCTGGCAGCAAGGGGCTCTGCACTGCGGGGCCCACACCCTCTCGCGAGCCAGCCCCACCCGCGGCCGTGACCTCACCTCCTCCTCTGGCCGCTCCTCGGTGTTGCCCACCTGCTCGTCCGGCACGCCGAGGCGCAGGCGCGTGTTGGCCGGGTTTTTACGCCGGATGGAGCCACGCGACTCGTCGGTGATGCTCTGGATCTGGGGCGAGAGAGGGCGACCGGTGGCAGCCTCCCAAACCACCCCTGGCCCGGGCAGCCCACGGCGATGGGCTCTGCTGGCCACCGGCCCGCCCCGGGCTCAGGCAGGGCATGGGCACGCGCAAGGCCCACCTTGCCCTCTCCAGAGCGCACCCCGCACGGTGCCCCCACTGGAAAGGAGCGGGGGGCAGCACAGCCCCTCTCGGGCAAGGAGCTGCAGGCTCACAGGCGGGCAGCCTCCCTCGGCGCGCCAGGGAGGTGGGAATCGGGCCGAGCCCTCCGACTGCAGGACATGAAGCAGCCCACCCGCACGGACTGCCTGGGGCGGACTGTCCCCCTGGGCCCCCGCCCCTTTTCCGCCTGCGAGGGGCGTGTTGGGGCGAGCCCAGGGCTGGGCAGCCTCACCTCGCGCTCCCGCTCCGTCTTGGTGAGGTGCATCTGCTTGAGGATCTGCGACCGCTGCTCCATCACCAGCGTCTTCTCGTAGGTGTAGGCGGAAATGTCGCTCTCGTGCTGCAGCCGGGCATGGGGGGGGCAGTCAGGTGGCGGGTGGTGGGGCTGGGGGGCCTCCGTCTTCAGGCAGAGCAGTTCCCTCCTCGTCCCATTCCCTGAGTGGGGCCCTGCTCTTTTCTGACCTCACCCTAGTTAACGCTTCCCTGTCTTTTGTGCCATCACTTATTGTTGGATAGCGGGAAGAGCCTGAATGAGTGCCTGGGGGCGAAGGAAAGGGGGCCGGGGGCGCGATGCGCAGGCCGAGGAGCTCCTGCTGGACCAGGTCTAAGGCTGCCCCAGGAGGGGGGCAGGGGCTGCCCGCCCGCCCCGCAGCCGCTGGCGTGCGCAGGCTGGTGCCCGGGCAGCCCCGAAGGCCACCGCCGCCTCCGGGCATGCGTCCAGCCGCCTCGCAGAGCCACCCACGCCGGGGACCAGCACCGCTCCCCGTGGCAGGGACACTCCTTGTGTGAGAAGAAGTCCCTCAACCCCAAATCCCCACCAGCAATGTTTATGGGATGCCCCGTTGGGTTTTAGTGTGATTAGAGGGGTAGACGAGTCCTCCTCGCCACCTGCTCCACTTCGTGCGTCGTTCCACACACCTCCGTCGCATCTCCCCTCATTTGCTTTTTTAAGAACAGCTGCTCTTCCCGTCGCTGTAGCAGCCCTTCCTTCTCTGCACTTTCTCCAACTCAATGAGGTCCTCTCACGTGCAGTGACCAGAACCGAACGCTCCAAGAGCCTTCCTTGCTTGGGCACGGTCAGCTCAGACCCCGCCAGCCTTTCTTTTAGGCTGGGATGCTTCGCCAGAGCGCGCCTGCCTCTGCGCTCGCGTGCACGCCACGCCTTTGCCTCCTGGACGCCCCCACAGCCCCCTTTGCCTTAACCGCTGAAACGTGTGGTGTCAGCCGCAAACGGGGCCACCCCACGACCTTCTAGGTGCCCATCACCTGTGCACAGGCTGAAGAGCACTGGTCCCAGTAGGAACCCTGCGGGGCCCCACTGGTTGCAGCCCCCCACTGGAAGACAGCACATTTATTCCTACCCTGCCTTTGTGTCCTCAACCAGCTACTGATCCAGAAGACTGCCCCCCCCCTGCCCCCGTGGCTGCCAATTTTGTTCAGCTGCCTTTGGCGAGGCCTCTCTCAGAAGCCTTTTGGAAGGCCAAGTAAACGAGGTCGCCTGGACCGCCCCATCCATGTGCTAATTATCACGCTTCGAGCACTCCAGCGGGTTCCCAAGGCAGGCCTTCCTCTTGCAGAAACCACGCTGGCCCTTTTCAGCAGGGCTTGTTCCTCCGCCTGCTCACGGTGACTCTATCCTTAATCACGCTTTTGAGCCATGTCCAACGAACGGGATGCCCCCGGATCCCTTCTGAAAGTTTGCGTGTTATGTTGGCCGTTCCCCATTTCTCTGGTACAAAGGGGGGCCACGGGGACGAGGGCAGTGCTTCGCCTGTTTTGGCAAGGGGGAGGACGGTGCCGTGAGCAGCTGTTCCCTTTGCCGCAGAGGAGCTGCGTCAGCCTGGCACCCAGCGTGACCCCCCGCCCTCTTCCTCTCAGCACAAGCTCCCCCTCCCCTCCCCTCCCCTCCCCTCTCACCATTTCCACCACCTCCACCTCCGCCGTGATGCGCAAGTGGTACAGGAAGGTGGTCAGGTCCTTCTTCATCTGGATGCTGTTGTCGTCCATCTGGGCCACGGTGAAGATCCTCATCTTGCACTTGCGCCAGACCTGCGTGGGGGCGAGGGGGGCGGCTGCCAGGCGGGGGCTCGGGGAAGCGGCCCGGGAAGCGCCTGGCCGGCACGCCCCGCAGAGCCCAGAGCAGAGGGCGCCTGCACGGTGGGCTGCTTCCAGGAGGCCCCACTGAGAGCCCCCCGCTGTGCCTTCCCTGCTGCCCCCTCGCCCCCGCCCCACCCCGCGTGCGGCTCCCCGGGCACCTTGTGCTGGCGCAGCAGGAAGGGCAGCAGCATCAGCATCCCCCCATCGTGCACGATCCACCAGACATCGATGTGGCCCTCTGAGAAGCGCTCCGTGTTGGCCGGGAACATGGCCAGGTTCTTGGCCACCAGCAGCGCCACATGCCCAGCTGTGGTCTCTCGCACCAGCTCTTTGGGGCACACGTGCGAGAAGCGCGTCAGGAGGGGCCCCTCCTCGCCGCAAGGGGGTCCGGGGCAGCCCGGCGGGCTCCCTTGGGCTGCCCTGCCCTGCCCTGCCCTGCCCAGCCAGGCGTGCGGGTTTGGCTGCAGCCGGCAGGCCTGGCGCCAGTCCCGCCCAAGCCTGGCCGGGAGCATTCGGGACTGGCGGCAGGCAACGGGGCCCGGCTCCCCAGCCAGAGACGGCGGCAGCCCCAGCCCCCCGCCTCCTACCGATGAAGTTCCTCCAGGTCTGGTGGTCCTCCTTGCTGCGCCAGTTGCGTGGCCAGCCGACCAGGACCGTGTTGTGCTGCAGCCCCCCGAGGCCACTGGACTGGATGAGGTGGGACATGCCGTCGCGCACGCTGGACGAGGTGGTCACCTGGCAGAAGCCCTTCACCTTCTCCGCCTCCATCAGCCGCCGGATGGACTGCGGGAAAGCCGGAGGGGCCCTGGTAAGCCGGCCGCCACTGCCGCCTGCAGGTAGGACGGCCGGGGGGTCCGGGGGAGCCCTGCGACTCACCTCCTCCGCCCGCTGGACCTGGGGGTGGTTGTCCAGGAAGGTGCCCTCCAGCACCGAGCCCACGATGGTCAGCCCCTTGCCCGCCTTCAGCTGGTTGGTGAGCGACAGCAGCTGCGGATGGACGACGTTCTGGTCCTGATCCACACGCACAAGCACGAGCAGCTGCGGCCTGGACAGGCGGGGGCCGGGAGTCAGGGCACTGGCCAGAGCCCCCCCCCAGGCCATTCCACCCTGTTCTGGATGACGGGCCCTGCCCCCACCCCCAGACTCTCCTTGCTGCTCTGGCCCAGCCCCTCGGGCACCCCAGGACCAGCCTCTTTCTGGTCACTGCAGCGCTGGCTGCAACACGCCCCTCCCCACCAGCAAAGCCACCAGCTGCAATTGCTTGCCCCTCGTACCCCCAGCCCCCTCCCCATGACCGCTGTCCTCTCCCCTCTGCTCCACCAAGCGCGGGGGGACCCCCTGCAGCGGCCCCATCCCCAGTGCCCCGCGGGTCCCTCTGCTCCGGCGGCCCCTCCGCCCAGACCTTTGACTCAGCGCAGGGCTGCCTGGAGAGGCCTGGAACGGGCAGGACGAGTCGGCGAGGGAGGGGGCTGCATTTGCCCCCCACCCGCCGTGCGCCACCCCCTTGCAAGAGAGCCGGTGCTCAGGGGCTGGCCATGTCTGCTGGTCACAAAATTCCCTTTTCTGGAAGCAAACTCTAACGTCTTCCCCATCACGAGGAGGAGCGCTGAGCACCCGACGGGCACAAATGCTGAGCTGCGCTGGGGGGGTGGGGACTCCAGGGGTCCCGCAATGCTCAAAGCCCCCTCCTCTGCCCCCTCCCGCCCCTGCCCTGGCCTCATCTTCTGCACCCCTGCAGGTCTCCGTCTGGTGGCATCGCCCCATCCGGCGAAAACGAGGCTGCTGAGCTCAGGGGCAGCCCGACAGCCGCCCAGGGCGCTCACCTCCAGTTCTTCGTGTGGGGCTGCCCTTCCTCCAGCCGCAGGAGCGCGTAGCGGGCCGCGCTGAGCGAGAGTCCACGGATCCCGTCACCCCACTCCTTCTCCGCCCTGGAAGTCGAGCCGAGGGAGCCCGTCCGTGCCACACCGTGGCTTTCCCCTGCCCGGGGGCCGAAGCCCCGGGCTGCAGCCCCCAACTCGCCCCCGGGAAGGGCCTGGGGCCAGCGGGGGACTCGGGGCCGAGCCAGCGGTCTCCACGGCTCACCCTGATCCGGCAGGCGGCAGCTGGGGGGTGAGCCCACCCCACCATGGGTGGCCTCAGGGGCCCCAGCCCGCTGCACCCGGGGCTGCTGGCCTGTGGCCCCGGGCCCCCCCCCCCCCCCCCCCCCGGGGCGGCGGGCCCCCGCCCCCGGGCCCCCCCCCCCCCCCGCCCTGGGTGAGGGAACCCCCTGCCCCTGCTACTCACCCTCTGTACTCGATGTACTTGTAGATGAGGCCGGCGATGAGCATGGCCACCAGCGCATAGTACCAGGAGCAGATGAACATCAGCGAGAGGCAGAGGCTCATGCCCAGGAAGGAGAGGGTCCTGCGGGCACAGGGGGGCTGAGCCCTGGCCGCCGGGCCCCCCGCAGCCCTGGGGCCCGGCCACCCCCCACCCCGCCCCGACGTCGCCCCCTCACAGACCCCCACCCGGCTGCGGTGGCACGCGGCACCCACCAGTGGTAGTAGCGGAACCGCGGGCGCCAGTTGGGCGTCCTCAGCAGCGTCTGGACCGCGCAGGCCAGGTTGACGAACATGTAGCACATCAGGAAGAACCTGTGGCGGGGAGAGGGCCGGGTGGGGCCGGGAGGCAGGGGCAGCGACCGACCGAGGGGCCCCTCGAGGGTGCTGTGGCTCCTGGACAGGTGCCGCCGGCCTCCCCCACCCGTCTTGCCCCTGCGGAGCCCCTTCCGGGCAGGCGCCACAGGGACCGCCCCGGCGCTGGGGCTGCCCTGAGCCGAGGCGGCCCGAGGGAGAGGAGCGCTCGCAGCTCTGGGTGCCCGAGACAGCCCCTCGCGGCCGCGCCCTGTGCATCCCGGGCCCATGCTCCTGGCGGGGCGTACATGGAGAGGATCGGGGCCACCTCGTCCAGGGAGGCAATGAGGATCCCGATCTCGCAGATGCAGGCGGTGAGCAGCAGGGCCCACGTGGGTTCCCCGTTCGCCTTGCCGTGGCCAAAGACCTGCGAGAGAGGAGGGTGTCAGAAGGCGGCCCCATGCGTGTGGCCTGGCCCCCCACAGGAGGAGCAGCAGCCCACGCGGGGGTTGGAAAGGCCCGCTCTGCCCCACCGCCAAAGAGAGAGCTGGGCTCCGCGGGAGGGGGTCTTCCTGGGGCTGCTCGGGGGCCCCGCCCTTCCTCTGAGCCTTGGGCAAGGCGGGCTCCGGGACATGGTCCTTCCCGCAGCTCCCCCCCCACACAGCTCCACATGCAGCCCCTCTGCCAGGCCCCCAAGGCCCCCCCCAGCGGGGACCCCGTGCGGCACACGGGCCGTCATCGCGCAGGTCCAGCGGGCCATCTGGTGCCGGACGCTGGCGAGGAGGGAAGGTCTTTGGGAAGCACCTGCGGCGGCTGGCCAGCGAGCAGCGCTCCGGAGGGCCGCTCAGGGTGCCTCCTCCCAGCCCGCCCGGCCCCGTGGCCTCCGTGGGGCAGCTCAGCGGGAGCAAGGGGCCAGTGGCGAAGCGCGGGGCAGCCAAGGCCCCGTCAGGCCGCAGCGCCTGTGCCCCTCTGTGCGCAGCTTGGCACCTCGTGAGCCCCTCCCCGGTGAGCGGGGGGAGCACTGGGCAGGCAAGCAGGTGCGTGGGGGCGCTGCAGGGCCGGGGTCCAGGAGGGCTGGTCCTGGGGGCGGGCAACGCAGCTCCCGCCCAGGACTGGGGTCCCACCGGCCCCGGGGCGCCCTCAGCTGCCTGCGAGTGCCGGTTCTGGCCAGCCTGAGTGGGCCATGAGCAGACATGGCCAGCCCCCTGCGGGAAGCACAAGGCTCGGCCCCCGGGGTAGCGGGGGGGGGGGCGACGGCTCCTGGGCTGCCCCTCTGCCTGCAAAGATGCCGCTTCTGAGGCCGCTGCGGCCGGCCAAGCAGAGAAGGGCCAGAGCCGCGTTTCCCTCCGAAGGGCAGGCGGGGCAGGGGCTCGGCATACCCCCCCATGCACGGAGCCTGCAGCCACCCGGCGTGGTGCTCGTGCCCCGAGCTTGGGGGGCGTTCAGGGCAAACTCCTCATGGGGGGGCCGCTCGCCATATCGCAGCTGCGGTGGCCCTTTTCCTCCAAGGTTGGAGGAAGCGCGGAGGACGGCCCCCGGCCCCCACACTTCCCGCTGCGGGAGCGTGCGCAGGCACAGGCGCGTGTGCGGGGGGGCCGAGGAAGCGGAGGGGTGTCTCCTCCGATTAAGCAGCGAGGCTCTGGCCTCCAGTGAGCACCGCAAAAGAGGCATCCAGGGCTGGCGGGCCGGTTTAAAATTAGCCGCCGGCCCCCGCGGGGCAGGGAGCTGTCAGTTCGCATTTGGGGAGGTGCGCCTCACGCAGGGTGCTGAGCACACCGAGCCCCGGCCGGCCGCGTGCGGGTGGCTCCGTGCTGCTCAGCCAGAGCCGCTGCCCGGGGTGGGGGCTCGGCACGGGGGGAGAAGCATGGGGCTGGGGGGCTCCCAGCAGGGCGCCCTGGCGGTGTGTGTGGAGTGGAGAGGGGCCCCCGGAGGGGCGAAGGGAGGTGCAGCCCCTGCCAGGGCCCCGGGGCCTCCTCCCCCACCGGGCCTCTGCCGCAGCCCCCTGCGGCTCCAGTCCCCAGCCAGGCGTGCCCCCCGCCCCCCCCAGCCACTCACCCGCAGGAAGGGCACGATGCCGTCCCGGGAGATCGCCTGCAGGAGGCGCGGGGCCCCCGTCAGGCTCTGCAGGCCGGCTCCGCAGGTGGAGAAGAAGGAGCCGAAGACGATCACCCAGGGGGAGGGCCAGGCCAGGGTGCCCACCACCAGGTTTCCGCTGACGGCCTCCCCAAACCTGAAAGGACAAGGGCCGGTCGGGCACCGCGGGATGGGGGCGCATTTCCCGGGCTCCCCCAGAGGGGCCAGCCTAGCCTGCTCTGCCCGACAGGCTCCCACTGCGGCTGCCCGATGGCCCGTCCCTTTCTGCCCGCCGGGCAGCCGGGGGGCTGCAGGTGGAGAGGGCAGCCGGGTCCAGATGCCCGGAGGCCTGGCAGGCGGCCGCGGGTGCCTTTCCTCCTGCCTCAGCGCTGCAGAGGGGCGCCGGGTGCCCCCACCGCCTTCTGGAGATGCACGGGCCCTGCTCCAAGGGGGGACCCTCCCTGGCCCCCCCAGCTCGGCGAGCTCCCCCCCAGCAGCCAGAGGCTTACTCACTTGTCCCGGAGGACGACGCCCTCGATGCAGGCCCCGAAGAGGATCACCGAGCTGATGTCTGGGCGAGCGTCAAGGATGGGGGAGGCATGACAGGGAAGCAGTCCGACCTGCCCCCCCACAGAGCATGGGGCAGCGGTAGGCTGGCCCTCCCTGCGCCAGGCCGGGGTATGGGGCCGGGGCTGACGCTCGCGTGGCCTGCCAGGCGCTCCAGCCACGGGGAGCGCCACGGGCCGCCTTCCGCCCAGGCTGGCCTGCCCCCCTGCGAGAACAGGTGGCCGCCCCCCCCCCAGCCGCTCACAAGACGTGCACGAGCCAAGGATACAGACTGCTGAGGTGGTGGCGATCGCGAGGATGGTGCCGGTGGGGATGGACTTCTGGGCGTCCCGCAGGTCCCCGGACCGGTTGGAGCCGGCCATGATCCCTGTGGGGGGCAGGCACAGTCGGGCTGGCGGGGCCGGGTGCGCGCAAGGCCCCAGGGGGCGCAGGCGGAAGAGCAGCCCGTGTCCTGCCCCCCCCCCCCCAAGGAGAACGCAGGGCCGTCGCCTCGGGGCCGCCGTGACAGCCGCTCATCCCGGGGTGGGATGCCCGGAGAAGGGCTCTGCCTTCAGCCCCCGTGGCAGCGGGTGCGGGCATGGCGGGCCCGGACCACGGGCAGTATGGTGGGGAGTGGGGTCTCCTTTCGAGGGGCCCCATCCTCATGCAGAAGTTTGCCGGGAGGGGCCGGGCCCACCCAAGCACGGCCACCTCCCACTCCTGCGCCAGCCCCGGCCATGGGGGGCCGAGGCATTCCTGGGACGGGGGCAGGAGGGCTTGCTGCAGCTGCCCAAGGGCTGAGGCCGGGGTCACCCCACCTCCAAGTCACGTCCCCCCAAAAAGACCACGGCAGCTGTGCTGGCTGGCGCAAAAGGCCGGGGGGCACTCGCGAGTGAGGCCGCTCTCTGCCTGAGGACCAGCCACGAGCAAGCGCCCGCCGCATCCACCTGCTCTTGGCCGAGTGCGGAGCCCCCACCTGTGACGGACGGGAAGTAGATGCCAACCAGGAGCGTGAAGTACGAAGTCATGTCGCTGAAGACGTACGGCTGGTCCATGTCCAGGACCGCCTCTGCGGGCGCCACGGAGCCCATCCCCGCCTTCTCCACAATCACCCCCTTGGTCAGGTACGAGCTCCAGAGGTTTTCTGCGCGGAGCAGACCGGCGCTCAGTGCGCTTCCGACCGGCCCCCCGCTGGACGCCTCCCCTCCCTGTGGGGCCCGCCGCTGGCCGCCCGGAGCAGCCCCCATACGTCCCCGTGCGCCGGATCGGCCATCAGGAGCAACCCGCGCAGCCCGGAGGCGCGCTCACACGGCCCGGGTGCCTCCCAGCACCTCGGGGATCCGCGGGTGCGGAGAGCCCTCTGGCCCAGGCGAGCGCCCCCATCCTCCGTCCCCCCTGAGGCTCCCCCTCTGTGGGTGTGTCAGGATCAGACCAGGGGCCTCTCTCGCCTGGCCCGCCCACAGTGGCCATCTAGATGCCCCCTGGAAGCCCTGCAGTTTGGCACGCTGGCCCTTTTTCTGAGTGAAATGGCCCCAAACAGAGCTGCGGAATCACAGCTTCCTATTGGTTGCCCTCTTCTTCCTCTTGATGAGAAACATGACATTTGCCCCCCCTTCACAGCAGCGGCTTCTATCCAGCCCCCCACCACCCCACAGTCTCTCTCTGGGTTAGCCACCTCAGCGGAAGCCCTGTGACCGTTCGCGGGGCAGTGGATGCATCTGCCCCACACGTGTCAGGGCCCACTGGCTCACCCTGGGCCGCCTGTGCCATTTTGGTGCACCCCCACCACTGGTAGAAGCCCCCGCAGAGCCCGTTGCAGTCCGTTTGCGTGCAGCGTGGCACATAACATGGTGCAGGCAGCCAAGCCGGCCACCTCCCGGCCCACGCCTGACCTCGGAGCATCGGTGAACAAGCTAAAAAGGGAGAATTCTGCCAACGTGGGTGATCCGCCTTTCCTGTCGGTTTTGCATTCCCTACCCAGAAAAGGTAGAGGGCTTTTTCTCTCCTCCAGCTCCGCAGTGAACAGCCCCTCCCAGGCCGCCCCGTCCATGCAAGCGAGCCCGAGAGGCGAGCGAGGCAGAGCTGTCCTTGGCGGAAGTCGCCCGGCCCTTTTCCTCGGGGCCCGTCCTGCTGTGTTCTCACTCGGGCCCCGATTCTGCCTCGCGCCCACTTTCGCGGAACACCCGGCAAGCCAGCTGGCCACCCACAAGTTGCCCCCTGGCGCGGGAGTCGGGCTCCCCCTTGGGGCCGACCGGGTGCGCGTACCTCGGATGAGGCCGGAGGCGGCCCCGGGGATGCCCTCGATCTCCGTGACGTTGTTCAGCGTGAAGTACTCGTCGCAGGTGGCGTTGAGAAACCGCGAGGAGCAGAACAGCTCCCACAGCTGGGAGCCCACCGTCTCGTTGCCCACCTGGATGATCTTGGTGCACACGTCGAAGCCGTGGCGCGACAGGGTCCGGTTCCCCAGCAGGCAGATCCTAGTGGGAACGGGAGGGAAGCGCGGAGGAGCCCTTCAGTGGGGCAGCCCCCCGCCCACTCGCTCCTGCGCCCCAGAGGCACCTGGGGCCGGGCGTGCGCCCGCTGCGTGCTTGCCGGCCACGCAAGGCCCCCGGGGCCAGAGGTGCTCGCTGCCCTGGCCAGGCACGGGGCCCCTCAGCCCCTGCCCCGTCACCACAGGAGCCCAGCAGAGCAAGGTGCTGGCCTTCTGCACGGCCGGCTCGGTCAAAGCCCGCAGAGCAGCCCGGCCCGCAAGGTGGGACCTCGGCCTTCAGGAAGGCCGTTTCTGGAGAGGAGCCCTGGCCGGCCGGCGGTGCGGGAGGGGAGGAGAGGACCAAGGGGAGGCTGAGCTGAGCTAGGAGGGTGCAGGGGAACAGCGGGATCCATTCCTGCGAGGAGACGGCGGCAGGTGGCGGCTGCACGGGGGGCCCTCGGAGGAGGGGCTGCCTCAGCGGGGCAACACGGGAGCAGGGCTGAGGCCAAGGGGGCCGCGGGGGGCGCGCCCCGGCACGAGCTGTGGCGGGAGTGCCGGGTCGCAAAATGCGGGGCGCAGGGCTGCTGCCGCCTGCGAGGGGAAGCGGCTGGAGGGGCCTCAGGCAGGGGCCAACCCGCCAGGCCTGCCTTGCTTCCCCTCCTGCCCGGGGGCTGTGCTCCGCCGGGGCAAGAGGAGGGGCAGGCCCCCGAGGGGAACGGGCACTGCCTGGGAGGAGTCCTGGATCCCCTCAGGCTGGAAGGATTTGGCCCCCGGCTTGGCTCCTGGCCCCCTCACGAGCCGTTTCAGGGCCGCTGTCCCCCCCCTCCCCCCGCACTCTTGCCTGTGGAAAGGGAGCGAAGAGGTACCCTTGCAGTTTAGCCTTTTAAAATACGAAGTTGTCAAGGCTTCCGGCGTTCACTCTTATGTTCTTTATAAAATTGTGTTACCCTGTTTGCAGCCTTGGGGGCTGTTTAATGTGCAAGCATGGGCACATGCGTGTGACGTGGCTGGTCTGTGCGCATCAAGCAGATGTGGAGCGGTGGGTGGTGGTCGCGCTGTGCCCCACCGCCCACCCGCCCGCCCGCCCGCCCGCTCGCTCGCCCTCCATCTGCTCTCTGCGGTAGATCAGAGGACTGCCGTGGACACGGAGCATCTTGGCTTTAGCAAAGCACCTGACAAGTTTCCGCGGCGTCCTTCTTGCCAAGGTGGCCGCCTGCGGGTTGACCCACGCTCCGGCGAGGCGCGTCCCCGGCCGACGAGCAGCCCGGCCCAGCGAGCACGAGGGACTGGCTCGGGCCTCCTGCACACGCTCCCACGCGGAGCCGCAGGCCCCCGGCTGGCGGCCGCAGAAGCGCCCTGGGCGAGGGGGTGGCGGGTCCGAGTGCCAGGGCGGCAGAGCACGGGGGCAGGAGGGAAAGGCAGCCCCACGGTGGTGGCCGGGAGCGGGACCCGGAGCAGCTGGGCCCGGACGACTCCAGCAAGACGGGAGCGAGCTGAGGTGGCGGAAAGCCACGGATGCCGGCGGGGCAGATCCCCCTTCGCCTGGCTTGGCAGGGGGGCACTGGAAGGGACCGCCAAAGCCCAGGGCTCCTCTGCAGGAGGGGCTTCACTGCCGCTTTTCCAGGCTTTTCTTCCACGTTCATTGCTGTTGCTGCTGTTGTGTCATCAAGCTGCCTCCGATTTATGGGGCCCCTCCAAGATGCCTCTCCTTGACAGCCCCGCTCAGCCCTTTAAGTACAAGGCCACGGCTTCCTGGATGGAGGCCGCTTGGTCGTCCTCCTTGCCTTCTGGCTCCAACTTTTCCTGGCAGGACGAAGGTCTTCTCCGGGAAGCCTTGCCTCCTCTTGCGGTGTCCGTGTCCATTGCAGGAGGAAAAGCGCTTTCTTTGCACAACCGTTCCTCCAGAGGTTTGCATCCCTGCCCTTCTGTGCAGTCAAACCTCGACGTTCACAGGTTTAACGTGTGCAGCCATCAATAAGTAACTGGGATTTTTAATTGTGTTTTGCAGCCTACTCCTCCACAGAGGCCCCGTGGGGAGCGCTCGCTTTCCCAGCTGCCTTGGCAGCCGGACTGGAATGCTGCCCCCCAGGCTTGGGACCAGGTGACGTGACGCAGGCGGAGCCCCCCCAGAATGGGATGTGCTCCAAGGCATCAGATCGTGTTTTAAGCGAACGGTTCTTCAAATTGCAGAAGGGAATTGGGATGCAGCTACCAGTGACATGCGGTCGGCAGCATCAAGAGTCAAGGTTTGCGGGAGGGAGAGTCTCCTGGGGCCACGAGGGGCCAGCTGCAAGCATGGCGGGGCCAGGGCCGGACAGCCCCAGCGGGCCCCTGGCGCTGCCGTTCACCTGCCTTCCGGGGGCCGCCGGCCAGGGCATCCGGCCACTGTCTCATCCTCTGCTGCGGCCAGCGCCAGATCGCACGGCTCTGGGACCGGCCCCCCCAGCCCCCCCGAGGCCCCCCAGGCACTCACGGGAAGGACGGGGGCTCGATGGCAGACTTGATGACGCCGGCGTAGATGGCCAGGATGGAGAGGATGACGCAGCCCAAGAAGACCAGGGCGAACTTGTTGACGTACTTGACGCCCACGAAGACCACGGTGGCCATGCAGGTGAGGACGCACGTCCCGTAGACCCGCATGTTGTTCAGCATGGCGGCCGCCTCGCCGCTGGCGTCCTCCGCCTTGAAGATGGCCATGGGCGGGAAGATGTATGCCTGGGGGAGAAGGACCGGCGTCGGTGGTGGGCCAGGCCAGCCCTGCAGCCCCCCCCCCCCCCTGGACGGACCCAGAGCCCACCCAGAGGTCCCACCGTGGCCAACCAGCGGCCCACAAGCAGACTGGGGCACGACAGCCCCCCCCCACACCCAATTTCTCAGCACCTGGAATGCACGGGCCGCCGGCCTCTCCTCGGAAGGGGGCCAGCGGCCAGCCGGAGCCACTGACGGCCTTCCCCAGTGCGGCATCCCCTTCCCTGCACGGCCATGCCCAGCCGTGGGAGCGCGTGGGGAGGTCCTTCCTCCTCCTCCTCCTCCTCCTGCTGAACCTGCCGCTGCGCAGAATGGCTCCCTTTCACCGGGAGCGGGAAGAGCCTGCTCAGCCGCAGAGCCCCCCGCACGCCACGCGGACCGTGTCCCCACGGCCCGGCTCAGGAGAGAGGCGGCAGTGCGAGGCCCCAGCACGTCCTCAGACCTGCTTGGCTGGTTGTTACCGGATCTGCTCGAAGGCCCCCATACGACAAACAGACCGACATCAGCGTTGCGTATGGTAATAAATCGAGGGCAGCCCTACGGGGGGCGGGGGGGGGTCTCCTGCACCCGGCGGGCCGCTGTGGCTTGAACGCGAGCTGCGCACGAGCCCTTCCTCTTGCTGCGGAGCGCCTCGCCACCGAGCACGGCAGCAAGTGGCTGTCTGTCGATCTAGTTGCCCCCCACGGACTGTGTGTGGGTCCAGGACCCCTTTCCTGAGCTCCAGCGTGGGGCCAGGCCCGGAAGGCGCCTGGGGAGGCTTTGCCTGTCCCGGGGTCCATCGGGGCCAGGCCCCAGCCCGTTGGAGCTTTGCTCGGCCCGTGGGAAGAGGGTCGGGTGGGGGGAAGGAAAATGGCCGAGGAAGCACCTAAAAGGTTGTTGCAGCAAAAGGCAACGAGATCGTCCCAGCTCCTCTCGAGGGTCCCAGTAAAAGCCTCCAGCTTGGAGCAGGCCCAGAAATCCCTCTCGATGGAGGAGGAGTCGGATCGTGCTGGACCACTCAGTGACATCTCTGAGACTGCGAGGACAAGGAACATCCACGCAGGGAAGGCCGTGGCTCGCGAGCCTCGTCACGGAGGGCGCTTCCGGACGGGGGGCTCCAAGGCCGCCGACCAAGAGCCCTCGTGCCGAGTTCTTCCCCCACTTGATGGTGGGAGAAAACAGGGCAAGGGAGAAAAAGCAGGGGGAGCACTGGGGGGGGGGTTATGGGTCAAAGAGGGGGCCACCTGGACCCCTCACGACACCGGTAAATGCCTTGTCTGGAAGTACCCTAAAATTCACAAGCCTGTCATAATCTTGCTTTGTGTACAGAAAAAATAAAGAATACGGTCTGGCTTCAGCCCCCATCAGTCGCCCTGATGCTCCAGGCATGAAGCAGCAGATTGGAAGCGGGGGGCGAACTTTCTTAGGGGAGCAAAAAGCAGGTCTGTCTGCAGGAAGGCTCCCCCGTGGTCCTCCGGGTACAGGGCAGAGTCCCTTTCTCTCAGGCTGGGGGCTTTTGGCGCCCGCCCTGCCCGCCCTGCCCCCCTCGCGCCCTCGCGGGATGCCTGGGAGAACTCGGGAGGCGGCCGTTCCTCAGGACCCCCCCGCCGTCCCCTCGGTCCTCAGCCTGCCCAGGAGCTTGCGTCCCAGCGTGGCGATTCGGCCCCTGGGCTGGGAGAGTCACCCAGACCCACCCGGCGGGCCACGCACCCACGGGAGAGGTGGCGGGGCATCGGGCGCCCCGTTTACAACGTGCGGCAGAGACCAAGGCTCGCCTGCCGCCCCGCATGGGGGCAAGCGCAGCCCGCTGGGGGGGCAGCCGGCATTTGGGGCAGGGCCCCCGGGACTGACCGTGGGGCTTGCAAAGGGGGGCGTTCAGATAGCCTGCGAGGCAGCGTCGCGCGGAGCCTCCCGAGAGCGGGACGTGCGGGGGTCCCCATGAGCAGACCGCTGCCTTGCTGGCTCTGCCTGCGCCAGCCACTGGGAATCCTTACTTGGGGGGGGGGGGGGCAGTGAAGACCCTGGAAAGGGGATGTGTGGGATGGGAACATGCCCACGCGGAAGGGGGGGCTGCTGAGAGTGAAGGGACCCCTCCCCCCACAGGCTCCAGTCTCTAAAAATGGACTTTTACAACAAGGAAAGCCCTCTAGGAATGGCCAATTCCGCCTCCTCGTTGTCCTCCGGCTCCCCTCGCTTTCCCCACATGAAAAGCATGGCATAGCCGAAATATTCTGGGCCAAATTTGCCCCCGATCCTCGGGACGAGCAGCTTGGGATCGTCTGCACGCGCCTTGCCGCTTTTCCTACACACTCTGGGCTGCAGCAAGAGCCAAATTCCTACTCCGCAAAAGCCACGCTTTGCCGGCCACACAAACCGGCAGCACCCGCTCGTTTCGGGCCTGGGAACAGATGGCCGGAAGCCCCGCAAGGCCCCCGGAGGGCGCTCAGTGGGGGGCGAGCGCCGTGGCAGTGCTTGGGGCTGCGCTGCGCTGCCTGCGGGCGGGCGGGGGGGGGGCCGCGGCCAGGGGCTTTGCTCTCCTTCCGGGGTCGGGGTGCGGCACTGGCAGAGGCGGCGGCTGAGCGCCAGATTGCGGGGTGGCCGCCCACCGCCCGCCCTCCCGGCTCTGGCCCGCCCTGCCCGGCACTCACCAGCAGGATCTCGATGGTGCCCAGGATGTACATGGCGCCGGCAAAGGTGGTGCCCAGGTAGAAGCAGAGCCCCACTGCGCCTCCGAACTCGGGGCCCAGGGAGCGCGAGATCATGTAGTAGGAGCCGCCAGCTGCGGGGGGGAGCACGGGGGGGTGAGTGTGCACACGCACGGGCACGGGCACAAGCAGGAGCCCTTCCCACGTGGGCAGGGCCATGTGCCGCCACCCAGGAGTCCCCCTGCTGCCCAGACCGTGGCTGCCCCCCCGTGTGACCCCAGGACTTGGCCGAGGCCCCCGCCCCCGTTAGGGACCCGCTGCCAGGGGCCCCACGCCAGCAAGGGCTCCTGCTGAGCGAGCACGTGCCACGTCTTTGCTATGCTATCCTCACAACAGCCCTGTGAGGTGGGCCAAGCGGAGGGCCCGGCGGACTGGCCCAAAGCCACCCCACACGCTTCATGGCCACATGGGACTGGAACCCGGATCTCCGGAGTCCCGGTCTGGTGCGTGAACCACCCGGCCAGCCAGGGGGGCCAGAGACCCCTCGGGGAGGGAGCTGAGCCCGCTGTGGCAGCCCCACTCCCTTCATGCCCCCCGCGGGCTGCGCCGCCTCTCTGCCCCCAACCGGGGGGGCCACTCTGGTCCTCTGCACGGGCTTTTGAAACTAGGCTGCCGGCCCACTTCCCCGGCCTCCTGTTGCCCCCCCCCCCCGCGGTGAGACGTGACACGGAGGGGGCAGTGGGGGCAGGCGAGGTGCCACGAGAGCAGGCTGCCTGGGCAACGCAGCCAGGGGGGAGGTGGCAGGGCGGGCTGGGGCTTCGCGGGGCACTCTGCTGGCCCCTGTGGGGCAGGGCTCGGGCTGCCCCCACGGCTGCCCCTGGGCACAGCCTGCTCCTCCAGTGAGACCCTGGGCTGCGCCTGGGCCCCCTTTGGGACGCAGGGAATGTCCGGGGAGGGCCGTGGGGCAGGGGGTCTTCCAGCCCACCCGAGGAGCGCGATCAGTGCCCCCAGGCCCCCGCGACCCCCGACGGCCATCGCCCAGCGCAACACGCACCTGGCACCACTCCGTTGGTCGCGATGGCGCTCATGGAGATGGCCGTCAGCATCGTCTGTGGGCAGGCAAGCAGAGTGCTGTGGGGGCAGCAGGGGGGGTGGCGAGCCCGGGGGACAGGGCAAGGGGCAGCGCTGGGGGGTGCGGAGGGGACTGCCGGGTGGGGTGGGGTGGGGTGGGGTGGGGAGGGCCCACCCTGCAAGGAGGCGCTGCCCCGGCTCAGGGACGGCACTGGGTGCGGCCGGCACACGGACAGGAGGCGCAGGACTCCAGGGCAGCCCCCGCCGCGCCAGAGGGCAGGCTGGGCCGTGGGGCGCCCCACCGCCCTGTGAGTGCCTCGGCCGGGCCTGGGTGCGTGCCCCCCACTGCCCCCCAGCCCCACTCACACACGAGCAGCAAAGCAGCACCATGCAGAACGCCTCCATGATGCCGGCGATGCCCACCACCCAGGTGAGCCGGAGGAAGAGTATCACGCCGAAGATGTTCTGCAGGCAGGGCAGGTAGACGCCCATGAAGGTGCCCATGCGGGGAGCCTGCGGGGGGGGGGGGGGG